AAAAAAAAAAAAAAAAAAAAAACTTTGCCGTGCCGCGGGGTAAAGGAGATCGATCATAAAATCAATAGTATCAAACAACAGCAATGGAATCTTCGGGATTTGACAAAATCCTGCCCCTTTGAAGATCAGACACTGCCAGGGATTTATCTTTGAGCCGCTTTTATATATTACTGTTAATGTTAGTTTGAAGAAAAAAATACAAATAATCCAGAGAGTCAAATATTGAATACATCAGTTGAAAATTATTTAATACAAGTTATCACTTCAAAAATTTTAAAACGAAATTCAAACAGACAAAAATTCAATCTACCAATAATCACCGTTTCGTCAAATTCGGGTATATAAACAAAATTAATTAGATATTTAAAGGATAAACAAAACAAGGTGACAATTATCGAGACTGTAATAATTTTCAAGATGGCGGAGGACAATTCCATTTATCACATAAAAAAGAATACATACTTTAGCAATATTACTGCACGAGGGTTTTTCTTTTGGCGGTAGCATATTTTAAATAAATACCCAATCTACGTAATGTTTTAATATTTTTACATGACAATAATTCAATTAATCTATACACACTGGGGTATCGGTAGTACATGTAATATTGCTTTATGTATGTGTTTCTCAGTATAGAACAAGCAGGACAAATAAGAATAAAATGTATCTCATCTTATATATCATTTTTGTCGCAAGCTTAACATTTTCTTTGACCGTACTATCTACTTGCACGTACATGGTCCCATGCATAATTAGATAAAACAACACCCGCTCTAAATTTCTAGATCGTCCCCTCGACGCCGACTACTCTTCGAACCAGTTGCTCTTCTTGAAATATCCCGGCTACTTTATTTACCCGGAAATGTTTTTCTCGAGTTCATTACCCATGTGTTGGTATAGCAGACATCAGTGTAAGGAAAGACAACTCCAGTTAAAATTACCAACCGGGGACGTGTTTAACTGATGGACAACTTACATAATGTACTAAAAGTTTTACAACTCGATACCCTCTGACCTGTTTGCCGTCATAATACTTTAGAGCCATGATATCGTTGTCTTTGTGGAATTTTTCACAAAATCATATACTAACAATATATATTGGACGACTAATTAGTAAATTTACTGTTGAAGAATACAAGTACATTGTACTAAACATAATTCTACCACAATACGCTGTGTTATTCCACTCTCAGATCATTGCATAAACACGCTGACTGTTAGATAAATATGAGTTATATACCACACGTGGTTTATTATCTACACGAGTTTTGATTGGTCGAGAAGATGAACTTTGACCGGGACGACTTTTTCCACGCGCTTTTTGCCACAATCTGTTTTGTTTACGTCGTCTGCTGTCAACATTCGACAAATGTTGGTGACTTTATTTTGTGAGGTTATGCGGAAAAGGGGGTTATTAACGCAATATTAAAAGAAGATGATACTTAAAGATTTGATCGCTAGTTTCAGGCAATATTGCTCAATATCGTTTCGACGTCACACCGTTGCGTGTCCAGGTCGTGAAACCAAAACAAGATCTGTCACAGTGTCGGACAATATTTCGTTCTCCAAACGTCCCGTTATCGCTATTTGTACGGTCTATCTATGACTGAACTGTCACTATAAACGTCAACCATAGAACCGTCACGAAGAAACGTAGGCCTATGGTTTTCGATATTAACAGCGATAAGTTCGTCTTCGTCACTTGGCGGGAGGCAGACTTCGTACGATATGCTTACGCGCATAAAGTCCGTGGTTAATTTATATATATTAATGCAATACTGCTACTCCCGATATTTAAAGTCGTTCATCTTTTATATTTTTTCATGACGTCGTTGTCGAACTATCAATTTTGACAATTATTAGATTTGTAAAAAAAAAAAAGCCATTTTGAATATCAATGAGTGGCTTTTTACATATGGGTCATATCACTACGCCAGCCTTGTCAACAAACACATGTGCGTATGTTATTTCCGACTGATCATGAGATTCTGGTAGAAACAGATCATACGACTCGTGGTTGTGGAGTATGGTATTCATTTCACTCTCGTAAGTTAATTTTCAAAAGTTACAGAAAGACACTCGTTAAAGCTCGTGTCTTTTTGTAACTTTTGAAAATTAGCTAACTCGAGAGAAATAAATACCATACTCATCAACCACTCGTTGTGTAACCTCTCTATATTACACTTTTGTATTTTATTAACCAATGCTAGATATCTGGTATATTGAATTGTGCAATTTAGTTTAAATATTTTTATTATCAATCTGTGAACACGCGATCAGACACAAGTTACTCCAACTTAACAACGCCTTCTCCCAATCCTCTCTAGTATATTGTATACTAAAAGGTTATAAATGAAAAACATATATATCATTGAAGTAGTATCGAACTAGACATCTATAGTTATAATATATTTTTCCATTCAAACATAGATTAAGCTTTCAAGTCCATGATTTGACATGTCAGACAACGTAGCAAAATGTAAAATGTAAAACAATACACTGACGGTTTGATTATTGAGATAAAATACTGCGTCATTTCTCGGCTGACGTCGACCACAACATCGTACTGTTTTAGTTGGTGCTTAGGTTTTGACGATTTTAACACACAAGACCAAGACGAACTCTGTGATCCAAAGAAGTATGGCGGAAAACTGCCCGTATTTCCCTAAGTCGGCATTTACGAAAAAAAAAAAAAAAAAAGAGGAGTAAAACATTTCGTGTAGCAAAAGTGCATACAAAAGATACAAATCCAATTGAATATGAATTTTTTAAACTGCTGAGAAATTAGGTATTGCTAATATGATACTGCAAATATAGCCATATACACTATATCTATGAAAGTGATGGGGTTTCCCGGACTTAAAAAAATACTTTCAACACTTTCCCATTTGAGGACCAACTTTTGAATAAACTTTTTGTGACCGTGATGTAATATGCAAAAACAAATCGTATTACGGAAAAGTGGTCCTCCTTTGGGAAAGTGCTCAAAATAATCCCGGCTATTGCTTATTCAATGGACGGTGTTATGGTAAAAAGATCTGGAAAGCTATAGGAGTTGTCTCCCCTTGCATGTAGCTGATTACTTTTGGTGTACGTGACAAATCGATATAAAATTTGAAATAGAGTGCTGTCCCCTGTTTCAACCTCAATTTCAAACGCTCATTTTCAAACTCTCAAGGGAAGAAGAAGGTTGAGTGGTGAGTTTGCTCCGATAATTTGTTATAAATTCATGGTAGGAATCGATTGCAACAA